GCCAGAGTTAAAAGAGCTGCAGCGGCCGCGTGTCTGCGAATTGCAGGAGGAGGAACTGGCTGATGGAGCTGCTGTTGGACATTTGCTGTTTCTGACATGGAGGACTGCCCAAGAGGAAAAAGACAGTGACAAGTTAGAAGAGCAGAATCTAATGCATTTCTTATGGAAACCTCACTGAAACTGCCTCTCCCCTTTCAGTAAGAAGTTTGTCAGCTCCCTCTCATGAGCTGTGACTGGTGCTGGCTGAGGGTGCTACTGGGAACAGGGACTCGGCTGTGGGCTTTGGAGGAGTCAGTCCTCCCTACTTAAAGTGCTATGTAGGGTGATCTCAAAGAAAATCCATTTGTTATCTCAAAGAGCTTTTAAACATTGTCACTCCCAGTTCAACCAACACCAGAGGACAGCTGAGGGATTCTGTGTGTGTGAGTTTTGATCCAGTTTCCCCATCACACTTCTGGAACGCTTTGGCACTGCCACTTCTGCTTCACGGAACGTGAAACTTTTTGGGTCCTGAGAGGCAAAAGGTGTGTCCCTTAGTGCAGAGCAAGGACAGACTCTCTGTCCATAAGCCCTGATCTCAGCTGCCCTAATCTGCCAGCTTTTTGAGCACTGAGGCACTCCCCTAGGAAGAAAAAGGAAAGTGCTGAGAGCAGAGGATTCCAGTTTCCAGATGCAGTCTCCATACCCCTCACCCCATCTCATCATTCCTAAGGAGGACCTCAGCTCTCCCTTCGCAGCCCAGGACCCAGAGGGCTCATGGCAGTCGCCTCTGAACAGCTGCCCAGCAGCATTCCCATGGCATTGACACTGAGGTGTCTTCTCCATGGGGCTCTTTGATAACACAGAGAGTCCATGGGAGAGCTGGGATTCTCTGGAAGGCAGCCTGCAGCCCCACAGGACATTGCAGGGACAGACGCAAAGTCCTGAACATGGCATGACCTGAAGGGACAGTTCTTTCATTTGTATCTCTGGGAGCCTGGGATTAGGAGGGGATTGGGGTACTTTGCTCATGGACGAATCTGCATGGGCAGACTCTCAGACTCAGTTTCTGAACTGCATCTGAATTCCACTCCCCTATCCCAGCCCAGTGATAAGAACAAGAGGAGCTGAGGCAGGAGGTGGAAAGTGGACAAATGCAATGCTGCCGATGGAGGCAGGCCCGGAAGAG